ATGGAATACATTTGCAGGACACTCTGTACTCCATGCAGGTCAATTATATTCCCGAGAGTGCAAGCGTGTTATTCTCGTGGCCGGTTTCGGGCCGGAATAACCACCCCCCCCCGCCGCCGCCGCCGCTGCCCACTTGCGGCCGCGCCTGCTCACGACTGCAATGATGACTCAGCCTTTAAACTTCGCTCGCTGATTGGATGGCAGGCCACGGACACGGCCCGGTTGTTTGCGCAGTAGACAGTACGCGCACGCTCTCGTGCGTGACAGCTCAAGCCCAACAACGGTTGCGTTCTCCTCTCGGCTTCTGGCTGCGCTAAAACACCAGATGCCCGCTGTCGGTGATATGACCTGTCTACCAGACAAACTGAAGCAACCATCTAAAGCTGGTGTTTAGGCAAATACAAAAGCACCCGACTCCTGGCTCCTTGCATTGTGGGATTGTCAGATGAGGCTGTACATATCAGCAGGCCTTGCTTTCACCGCCTGAACTAGTTTGGGCACTGGGAACGGCGTGAATAATGTGCGCTGTGCTCACCCTTCTCCCTGCAATCCACCTCGTACCCCAACAGAAACCACGCATAACCCGCTCTAGCCCGGTTGATTGGTAGTTTTGCTAGATTCTACGGGGCGCCTGGCACATTCAAAATCCAGGAGGGTTTCCGCGCAGACCAGGTGGCCTAAGACGTTCTCGGTTAGCGCCAGGGAGTAAGATTCTTCCAGGCAAGTTCTCTCATGAGTTTTAACCCCAGCTCTTGGAAAAACGCCAGGGAGCAGTCTGTGCGGACCACTCGCCGATAAAATCATGACTTCATTAGGCTCGTTTACAAGAGGCGGGTTTTGAGCGCTGCGTGATGCTTGCATTTTGGTAAATAGAATTGATGCGTGGGAGCTACATCGATACATTGCCAGTGACTAAATAAAACCATGTTTACACTTTGTATGAGAGTGTAATGAAATTCTTTGAAATACACTTAATGCCAAAGGCATGGTTTATGGTGGGGCTTACTTACTTGGGGGAGCATTTGACGGGGTTTGGTCCTGTAGCCCCACCTGAGTGATACCATATGGTTAGCTCTCTAAAAAATTTTGACAGATACGAATAAGCTGACTTAACAAATATCACATATTTGCATCTTCCTACTACTAATCCAGCGAGTGACTGTGCCACGTAGGAGGGAGTGCTTATACGCCAGCCTGGGCTACTTTAGTAATCAGTTCTCGCGCGCTTCCCTGCGTGCGCTTCGAGCCCCGCTTGCGCTCTCTTCATTATCCTAATCCAGCGAGTGGCCAAGTAGACTTGCTAATGGAATTCTTCCGACGGTGTGGAACTCCGTCGGTTCTACTACAGTGTCCATGCACTGCGAATTACCACGCGGTACCCTCAGTGGCTTTCCAGTTCTGATTGCGCCCCTATGGCTTCTTAATCCAGCGAGTGGCGGCGTCGGGAGAGAATGTGTACACACCACCTTCACTCGCCTCCCTGCGCGTACTTCGAGCTCTGCTTACGCTCTCTTTCGCTTCCTAATCCAGCGGGTGGATAAGTTGAGTATGCCAACTAAAACTGTTTTAGTAAGCTAACCATACGGTATCGATCAAGTGGGGCTGCAGAACCGAACCTTGCCGAACATTTGTGTTGAAAAAAAGAGCTGGACTTCATTTTCATTATTTAACGATAAAAGCAAACTAACTTAATGCCCTTTTGCAGACATTGCTAATAAGGTATTGGATATTGTATTTCTAATCCGATGACTTCCTTAAAGGATCTTGACCGCCCTCGCACAAAAGTCACCGTGAGATCCTTCGATTTCCTTTTCTGGTACGTACAAATAAATATCACCAGTAATATTCTTGCAGCACAATTGCCCCCCCCCCCCAAATTAACTCCGACCATAAACCATACCCTTGCCCACTTAATCAGTGATCAAATAAATTGTGCATTTATACTGAACATAGAAGGGGCTTTTGTGGCTAATTTTCCCGGTTTGATGCCCAAGTCCCTGCTGAGACAGCCTTCCCCCCCTAGGGAAGGACGCGCAGGTAATTTCCATCTAAGTGCCAAGACCACGTATCATCACATTCTCTTTACTCCCCCAATCTCATGTGACTTCCTGTCCACTCTTGTACAGCATGTAATCTGTCGTCATTTCCAGAGCAGTATAGTTAGTGTCAGTCGGGGATTAATATTTGAAAGCCTCTATACAGGACTGAGCGGTGTTTAGTGGGTTGTCAGTGGCTACGACGGCGATTCAGTTAGACCTCTTAATGTCGCTACACGTCTGCAGGTGAGTGTCCTATATGCAGCTCCCAGGCAACCTCGCTGACACCATGACTCAATTTGACGACGCACCGTCATCGCCAGTGATAACGTGAAACGTCCACACTGGCAGATACAGTGAGGCGCATTCGCAGAAAATTATTGATACGCCTCGGATGAAGGGTTTGTTCGAGAAGGCCGGTCCACCACTTGGCATAACTGCCCGCTACCCGACGGATTCAGACGCCACGGATAGTGGAGTGGCTTTCAGCGAAGGTTACTGATGAAATAATCATGCTCTCACATTAGAGGAAGACTGACCTCTGGCACGATAACTCTCCTATAAAACACCCCAAAGCCCGATGAGGGCACTGCGACATGTCATCGGGAACCGCCATTAAATAAGTCTGCCTACGAATCCTGTCCGTCTTTAAGTGCTTGAAAAAATCGCTGCAACAAACAATCTCGGCTCCCTTTCGAGGTCTCGCTTACGCTCACAAGTTCTAAACATCAGCTGTGCGGTACAAATAATAAGATCCATGCTGCGGCAACCGCGGGAACAGACCTGCTCGGCGAATGGCATGCGATCTGGATTAGCCAATGGAGAACGGACCGCTGGTGTTGGGTGCTGGATAGTAGGGCCGTTCCTGGGCCCTGGTCGGCAGTCTTCACCAGTACAACGTGGGTGTCTGTTACCCCTCTGAGGTCCGACTCCACGCTTCACGTTAACAGACAAGGTGTTGTGATTGCCCTCTCGCAACGAGCTAACCATGCACTGCTTGTGTGGAAACTATTCAACAACAGGATGTCTTACGCCGGACTGATGGGATGTAGTTTCTGATTGTACACTAAACATCGGCTGCTAAGTGGCGCAGAAAAAAAAACCAAAATCCCATCTACAGGGAACTGGTCGAAGAACTCTCTCGCTATAATTTGCTGGTTATTTCTGAGGGGTGGAACGGTCGAGCTGAATGAGACCACTTTAGGCTTGGTTCCTGAAGCGACAATGATGAAAAAAGTTGAAATTTTCTGAACAGAACAGGCTAGTTGTCCCCAACACCCTTTCCAGCATCGACGTAAAAGTCAGTTAACCTCGTGCTCAAACAATGGCTGTAAAGTCAGTCAAATCGACTACATTCTAATCGGCTCAAGGCTTCGTAGCTGGGTTAATGGTGGCAGACAGATTCGTGCTGGCGACACTGATGATAATTTCATTCGCTCACGCCTGACAGCCAATCCCTTATTCATACCCAAAATGTCAAACGTAAGACGTGTTAGTGCACGACAACCCAGATCGACACATGCTCTGTGCACAGAAGTCCGGCCTTCCTTCGAAGTAATCAATGGAGAAGGACCCGATTGTATTAGGGTATCCAGACGCTCCCTCTTATCTGAGAGCTCCGGTGAGGTAACAACAGGCGACTTATACCACTGTCCTTCGAGGTGGGTCTAGCAGCAGTGAGGCGGACTTGTCCTGTGTACACCTCACTCCCTCCCCTACATCCACCGTTCTTCAGTGGTAGCGCGAAGTCAAGACGATTGGAGGGGGGGGGGGGGACATTGGCTGACAAAGTTAGACGACCCATCTACGCGTACCACACAGGATCTGACCGTGCTGCACTTGTTCCGGGCTACATTGAGGAGGCCTCGGACCTTGCGCAGGTGAAGGTTGTCATAGAGGTCACGGTAAGGAGGGGCTATTACAGCCCGATCGTAGGCCTTGGGTAGAACCGAGTTATCATCACAGCTGGCCAACTTCTAAATCCCGATTGAAAACGCCCTCCGGGGAAAATTAGTGTCACGCACAAACACGAGATAATAATAGGGGGCAAGGATTAAGTATATGTGCGGCGAAAGAAAATGCCAACTGTCGCTTAGTAGATTCACCGACGTATTAACACTCCTGCTTTAATGGCAGACGTATTCACTCCGTCTACCGCTACTTCGAGCATTTTTTCACTGCCTGACTGTTCTACACGTTGAACTTCGTTTTAGAATTGAGCTTGGCTCCTACTAAAGGATTACGTGCGCAGTGTGTAGAACAATGAACCAATGTAGACACTCCAGCAGTGCTGGCTCTTCAGGGGGGTACAGGTCAGCTAATGTCATCCTGCCGACGAAGGGCCGACCAGAATCTCTACCGAACAACACCTTTGAAAAATATGGCAGACAGTTCCCAATAATTGTTTCTTACCCCGCGCATATACTTAATCCTTACAGAATAGAAAGATTATATGCCGTGCTAGCAACGACTTGTGCCGTAATTATACTACTGTTGACTCCTCAATGGTGACCTGCCAGTACATATGAATTAATCTGAAAGTATAGTTCAAAGCATTGGCTTTAAAAGGGTTTAAAGCGCAATTATTTCCCTCCATAGCGCAGGAACGAAAAGTGACACTTTACAGAAAGACGAATTTATTTGCGATGTTGGGTCGGTCAGCAAAATAAAGGGTTGAGTAGCCCCTCACATTTTAAAAACCGAAATCACAAAAGTCCAGAGTACTTGAATAAGATTGGAATGCATGCTTACTGTGATTGGAATGTGAGTCAGCGTAGGTGTATACATATATAAAATGAAGCAACAGACTACGAGCGTCGAAAGAAAGTGTACAAATGCACAGATAGAAAGAAGCGCGCAAGTGGTTTGACAGTAAAAACGTATTAACAGGGGAACGACCGGTTAAATCAGTGCGTGAGTGTGTGTGTGTGTTGAGTAGACTGTATGCACGGAAGGTCTAGAAGGCTAGACCATTTGTCCACGGGCGAAACCGTTGGGAGTGACTACCGTTTCTTTGCTGCGCCGACGAAGGAGGATGCAGCCGCTGATGAGAAAACCGAGAACGATACAGGAGCCAACGGCAATTCCAATCATCTCTCCACCTGTCAAGAGGAGCGCCTTTTCACCACCTGAAATGAATTACCACAAATACCAATACATGAGCTCTACTGATAGACAGAAAACACCCAGACTGGCGCCATGAAATTCCCCTTTAACACGTGAAACAACTAAATGATCTCGGTTGCGAAGGAATTACTTATGGAAGGGGGTGTTGTGATAATAATTGTCAGGCCCAGATACCGGTTGTTTGAATGTGCAGTTCGCACGGCGCGCGGAAAAGTCACGATGACTGGGAGGCGAGTACAAGCATATTCATAGAAGACAGGCCCAGAGATATTCTTCCTTTTCATGGATGTTTTGGCAGATTTTGAATAGTTCATATTGACCCAACTGTGAAAAACTCGGCGCTTCAGTGGGATTCGACCCCACGCAGTAAGGGGAAGACTTTAGTACAGCCAAAGCTCTAACCACTTGAGCTACGAGGCCCCGCCGGACGACACGAGTTTAATCACATTCGGGTCAAGTTACGCGCCCAACATACTGCAACCTCTGGAATCCACCAAATCTGCTAAAGTAAGTTGTCTGCCCGAGCGGGAATTATTTTAAAGGTGCCAAAACATCTATGAATTACGTGAGCCTGAGAGTCATCTGGTGGATTCCAGATGTATTACTTAGGAAATCCTGTTTGGGCAGTTAAATTACTGTATCAGACTTGGTGGATTCCAGACGTTGCGGTAGGTTGGGCGGGTAACTTGACCCAAATGTGATCAAACTCGCGTCGTCCGCGGGGCCTCGTAGCTCAAGTGGTTAGAGCCTAGGCTGTACTAAAGCCTTCCCCTTACGGCGTGGGTTCGAATCCCACCGAGGCGCCGAATTGTTCACAGTTGGGTCAATATGAATTCTTCCTTTTATACATTTTGCAGAAAAGCACGTTTTATTCGTTTTTTATCGAAAAAGCGATATGGCGTAATTTTAAAACGGTTTTAAACTACATGCTGTACGTTTGCTATTTACGGGATACCATACATTTCCCCACGACGTGTAGGTACTTATAAAATTTTGCAATTAACACAAATCCCATTATAAACCTCAAGAGGCGCATATATATACCTACTGATAAGGTGCTGTCTGAATAGGCGTCTCACGGTCTTAGAAAATCTCATAACTACAAGCTTTTTTAGATCGAAAGCAGCCCTTCTTTGAATGGGAAATCTGAAGGCGTAAGCTGTCACAAAAGGAGTGCAGAGTAGGATATTTTTGTGCATGCTTTCCATAAAACATGCTCGAACATATATATGTATATGGGCACAAAAAATCACCAACAAAAATCCACACTACTTATTTAGTTTTCCATATCGTACATGCTTTCTGCATGTGGCCAGAAGGCCGGGCATTCAAAAGCCGGTCGAAATACCGTATGCTGCCTGACAGTCAATACTGCAATTCTACCCGAGCGATCTCTTCTGGTCGATAGCCTATTTAGGAATTTTAGTTAGCGTTTCACTAGACACGTCATATACTGTAATATGGTCTCCGTCGAAGTGCTCTACCCCTGAAGGTACAGGCACGTCTAAAAGCACCCTTAGTGGGCAGATGCGGAGGATGAGTTTCATTCGGCCTCCATATGTTTCAGTATTTAAAGCACTGCCTTGGGATGTGCTCTCTCTCTCTCTCTCTCTCTCTCTCTCTCCGAGAATGACCTTTTTAAAAGACAGAAAATGTGGTATGGTACAAAAATCTGGTGAGTACGGTGGATAGAGAAATACAGAGGCTCGAAAATTGAGTAATGAGATGAGGGAAATGGGCTAGTTATCAAGATGCAATGTATACGATATTATCTGCCATATGTTGGGCTCCTTGTTATCTGCTTTTGAGTGGACGTGCTCACACCTGAACACACCGCGGCCAGTGTCGGAAAATGTTACTAGCATGCTCTCACGTGTCTAGTTCTTTCTGGTCTTCCGGATAGGAGCTGACAATGAGTTTTCTTTGCCTTATTTCACTTCCGAGGACATTAATGCATGAACTTGGAGTAAGTAGTTGAGGACAGACCTTTCAGGCTGGGGGATCCACTGATGAGCCCAACCCCTCACAGTTGCGTCAGGCAGCGGCACAAAATTGGCAAAACACGCGTGTCTGGGCTTTCAGCTAACATCTTTGTTGTTAGTACTGTAGGTGGCTGCATATTTTTTTTAACGACAAAAATATTTTCACATGTAGACCGCTCGACTCCGCCCTTTTCGTTCATGCCTTGAACTGCCTGTTTCTCCTGCATCACGCTCGATTGTGGTAATATTTGCTGTTTGCCTGAGGTAGGTATGGATTCGTGGTGCTGATTTTTCATTTTTGTCAGTCAAATATATCCAGTTCTTGTCGTTTAACTACCGCTTCTTGAAACCAACTGGTATGGTTAAGTGGATTTGTTTGTGTCTTCTGTGAGGAGTTATGGTTTTGCTTCCGACCCCCTTTTCTAGTTATAGGCATCTTTCCAAGAAAGGTAGGCGAAAGATGGAAACAGCATGCGACCTTTTGGGATGGAAAAGTAGCCATGCTTGTTTGAGCTCGCAGCCTGTTTGTGCAGCGTATGCCTTCGGGGCCCGTGATCGTTGGACGTCTTTGCATAGCGTCCAAAACGCGTATAAACTCTCCGACCGGCGATCGGAATGGCATGTGCCCGTTTTGCGGCGTGCCTCGACAATGGACTGTATGTGGGCCGAATAGGAGTTATTATTACTTTTTAACTCTTCTTGGCAACGGTGCGCCTGCCATGTAAAGACATGATCTAGCCCGCTGTTTCATTGAGGGCCGGTATCCACGTATTTTCGGGTCTTACCTACTGAACTTTTTAAATGAGCTTTCGTTTTTTGCATTAGGGAATGCAAGTAACCTTATCCAGTGGAAGCGATTCTCTTTCTCCTCCCTCCCCTAAACTGAAAATAAAAGTAAAGGACTGGTCTAACCATTCACCAGGAGATTAATACCTCATAGAATCTCCACATACAGTAGGTGGGCTAACTAATGAAATGTCGACCGAGATTCCACAGTGCGTTTTCGTTTCGAAAAGATTAATTAAGTAGGGTTGTAAAACAAATTACCGTGCAGCATAACTCTATAATAATTCAGTTGCCCCAGTATGCCGGCTTTCGAACGAACTTCCTTCCGGCTGCATACAAAAACTATACTCTGTAAAAAATGGCTGCTTAAGTAGCATGCATTTTTCTCATTGATTTTCGATGACCCTAAATGTCCAATTATATTTCATAGAAAATAGCATAAAAATATCCATTCTTTTTCTCATTCGGCAGAGAATTAGGTCTTCTTTCAATCTCATACTCGAAGAAAGGGCATAATTAGGTTTTCAAAAACGTTTCCAATTCCCGAGTAATTTTGAACCCGACCTGCCGTAACACTTGCATTCAGGGTTTCCAAACTACAAGTCATACATTTTCCGAGTACGGAAAACCATATATTTCTCTTCGGTATTAAGAGGATACCATATAGGGTTCATAAAATTTAGCAGTGAATTTGAGTCATATTGTTAACTTTACAAGCTACATTGGCAAATACAGAGACTTGACGTTTTATGAACGGCCATTTCACGTCATTGAAAAATCTCACAATTAGAAATTTCTTTAAAACCGAATTATACCCTTCCTTTAAGTGTAAAAGTGGAAGAAGACGTAATTTTCTATCGAATGAATATTATTATGCATGTTTTCCATGAAATAAATTGAATTTTTAAGGGCATCGAAAATCAATGAGGAAAATGCATGCCAATTGAATAGTCATTTTTTACATAGTGCAACCTTACTTAATTAGTCTTTTCGGAACGAAAACGCAGTTTGGAATTTCGGTTGACATTTCATGAGTTAGTCCACCCACTGTATTTGAATTAGTACAACATGGAATCAGCACATGTTTAATGCTGCCTATAAAGTGGGCAACAAAGTCTTAGGAGCCCTAAGTGCCATCATCATAACTACATATAAAACTGTTTAATCCTTTACCGTACTGACAACACAGTTATTAGCCAAAATTCCAGACACGCGTGTTCCGCCGATCTTGAGCTGCTGCCTGGTGAAGCACAAGAGGGGGACCCACTGGTGAGCCGAACCCCTCACAGCAGCGTCAGGCAGCGGCACAAGATCAGCGGAACACGCGTGTCTGGACTTCTGGTTAATAACTGTGTTGTCAGTACGGTACATAATCACATAATGGGTGTTTTTGCTCGGTGCAGCCACCATAAATCGAAAGTTTATCCTCGAGAATGGCACCCTCCCGGAAGGCTGGATCGGCCTCTGTCCTTTTCTCTTTCGAGTGAGTTTTCCCCTGTCTCTGCATATAATCTTCTGGCGTCTGCGTGACATTAAATGTCTCCTGGAGAGGTCTGACAAGGCGCGTTTTCAGTCGCGTCTGAGAAGTTTGGCAGTTGCGGCGCTAACTCGGTCCGGCTCAAGGCTGACGATCAGGTTGAAATAGCTCCCCCTTAAAGTTGATATCTATGGCAACCTTCGCCTGTGCAAGGTCCGAGATCCCCCCCCCCTCATTGTTACTTGGTATGGATCGCAATGCATGAAGTGTTCCACTCATGAATTATTGAGTGATATGTGTTCGGTAAGTTTTCAACTGGAAAGAAGTATTTACACGCAGTGAGCGAGCTCGTGTAATGATAACCTGAATTCTGAAATGCGTTTTCGATTAGGAAGGATTATTTAAGTGGGTTGTAATACTGTTTATCGTGCGACATAGTCCTATAACATTCAGAACGGGCCACGATGTCGGCTTTTGGATGCACTTCCTTGACCTATAGAAACCGTACTCGGTAGAAAATGACTACTTAAGTAGCGTACATTTTTCTCACTGACTTTCGATTGTCTAATAAATTTAAATATATTTTTTAGAAAACGTGCACAAAAATAAACCTTATCTTACTCCTTTGGTGGAAAATCACGTTTTCTTCACATTTTACACCCAATGAAAGGATATATTTCGGCTTTGAAAAAGGCTATAATTCTGAGTGTTTTTAACTTTCTGTGATGTCTATTCATACAGCATCGTGCCCACACGTTTACCAATGCTCCTCATGAAATTTAAAACGTAGTCCTCATTGCAAAATTTTATGAACTCTGTATGATATCCTCTTATAGGCCTAGAGGAATATATGACTCTTACGCGGAAAGCGTTAATTCGACGGCTGATCAGGCTCACACATGTTCGAAAAACTGGAAAACTTTTTTTAAAACCAAACCAACGTGATTTTCTACAAAAGGAGTAAGAGAAAGCATATTGTTGTGCACGGTTTCTCTAAAATATATCTTAATGTATAAGACCATTGAAAATCAATGTCAAAAATAAATGCGACTTAAGTATCCACTTTTACCGAGCGCGGTTTCTACGGAAGGTCGAAACGAATCCAAACTATTATAGGATTATGCCACATGATAATCAGTACTACAACCCAACCTAAGTACACCTTAGGTGGGGTTGTAGTACTGTAACTGACATCAAGCAGGAGAACTGGTGTGCTCCCCATTCACAAAGCGGTATGCAAACAGCCCAAATTTCGTATTTGGTTTACTAGAGATGTTCAGATGTCCTTGTGTTTGGTTGTATGTGATAAATGCCGGTACAGCAATATAGGAAATGGGAACGTTTGTAGAATAAACTCCCGATACACCAGCAAGCATAAAATTTTGGCGTATTACTGCACTCACTCCTGTTGGATTGTCCAGCATGGCGGTGTTGATCATACTAGACATCAGAGAGTCCCCATGCGGTTTAAACGGTGGGCGTAGCGTCCACAGTCCAATACCCTTTTAAAACCGCTGTTCTGATTTTGCCACCGGAAATGTTAGGTGGACGACGAAATTGTTAACCCACGGAAGTTACTCAAGAAGGCGGTGAGGCGTTAAACCGCAGTAGGGCGAGAGGTTAAGCGACTTTACCAGTAAGCGACCAACGCTTAGCCTAGTTCATGGTTAGCCAACGTATCAACTGGTTGAAAATAGTTGAACGACCTTCAGTGAAGGTTAACTGCGGGGTAAACAGAGTCCTGAGGTTAACGAATGAGCAGTTGTTGACGCCCGAACGGTGGTTGTGTCATTAGAGCGCAAAGAGGTGGGTTCCGGCCCAAAGTGCACTAAGGGCACTAGGACATAGTGAACCCCAGGTGTCATCGGTGAGAGCTCCTCTAACACTGTAAATTCCCGATCGAAACCTACAGGACAACGAACCCCTGGCTCAGTGGTTAGAGGCATTGGATTTCTAACTAACGGGTCGCGGGATCGAGCCCCAGCTGTTCCACACTTCGGGGTTGGGTATGACTGACTGACGATGGCTAATTAGCCAGAAATGACCACTCCAGTCTCCATTTTCTTTGTCGGTAATAACGTTCGGCCTATATCATGCACCGCTGTGCTGCTGTTGGTTGGGCTCGTGAGAGAGCCCGTAAGGCACAAAGGAACGAGTGAGTTTCGTAGAAATGATCGGTGAGCGTCCCTCTACCATTAAGTGAGTTCTCAGTTAACGACTGCCTCGAAGTTGAGCGCCAAAACAACAAGAACCCAGAGGAGACAAACCCGAAAAAAGGGACGGGAGCGACTTTTGAAGACCCACAGGAACATGATCTTGCACGAATTTCACTCCACAGGGCTACGATAAATAATAAGACGAGTTTGAAAAAGTAAATGTAATGATATAAATAAGACTGCATACTGACTTGATACTACTATATATCGGCCTCGCAAAGGACTGTACTGAAGATGCGCTGAACCAAAACGGGCGTCAGGCTGATTTACGACTCTCTGGGTTAGTTGGTGAGATGGTCCTCTAAAATCTCGAAGGACGACTTTTCGCGGCATTTAAGCCTTACTTTTGGGCATGCTACTCTAACGACATGTTCGGCATCGTTGATCAGGAGAAGACTGGCGGCTGTACACGACATAGAAATTCCATCATCGCCGATCTACAAGTCACAATAGTGGAAGGTCTACTTCTCCCCCCCCCCCCCCCCCCCCCCCCCCAGATGTTACCAGCAGACATAAAACCGACAGCCAACTGGTGACCATATCGAAGTGGAATGACTCGACAACTCGGAGATTCCCAAATCAAAAGTTGGAACAGGCAGAGTCATAGGACATACTTTACTGAGGTTAGGGAGCGTACAAGCGAATTAGCATGCAGGTGAAGCAAGTCGTCTCATCAGGCAACTGTCAGTCCCAGTACGTGCAAATGGGCCTTGTCAGTCCGCAGCCAATCAGCAAAGGACGCTTTGTCGATTGGCCTCTAGAGGTCTCAGCATTAATGCTAAGTCATACATGGGGCTCCATTCATCGATTGACAGGGGACGCGGAAGCACAAAGACTGGCTGGTTGGGTCTGAAACCAGACCCCCAGGTTGGAGGTGGGAGCTGATGATGCGCAGACAAGATATGTCCTCAAGTTTGACTTTTCGAGATTGGGAGTCAAGGTGACGATCACATGTCGATGCCGGGATGTCAACTAACCGCTCGGTCAACAGGCCAGTGAAGCTGCCTACGCCCACGGTGGTCGGGATCACCGATGGCCGATCACCGATGGGTTTTCTCACGTCTTAGAAAATGCCCATGGATCTGACGCGACGCCTCCATCGCCACTTAATATTCCCGTGTACCGTGGATATATTCGGTCCATCCTTCTCTATGGTTCTGAGCATTGGACTGTACGTGAGGAGGACGAGCGAAAAATGGAGGTATTTGACCACCACTGTTTGAGGACCATCCTTCTAGGGACGTACACCGACTTCGTCTCAAATGAGACAGTCTGCACCTGCTGCGACATCGAAAGGATAACCCATCGCCATCCAAGAAAGGCGATTGAGGTGGTTTCGGCACCTCAGGAGATCAGTGCCCTCGATCCGACACCATGACCCCATTGGAGGCGCCGAAGAGTGGGTCAACTCGAAACCTGGCTTGAGACAGTTCGTCAAGACATGGCGGTAGTTCTCGGACCATCCGTATTCAGTCTCCATCGTTGGCGAAGAAAATGGGTGGAACTGGCCAGATATGCTACCGTAGATCGTCACATATGGAGAGGGATACAGTTCGGGACACCATCGAGGTCCGCTGGATCAGGCACGATCGCAGCCGTACCAAGTACAAGTAAGTAAATAAGACATCGATAGGGGATGTCTATAAGGACTAACCCGGTCACAAGAGGGGCCGCCAAATTACAGTTACCGTTCCTGACTGAATGTTTTACTGTTCACCAATTAGCGAAAGACTCAGCAAACGTCTTCAGACCATATTATTTTCGGTTCTTTCAAGGTTCTCATTTTCCGGTCTTTTTATCAGCCCACACATGCTCACACCTTCTTCCGAATGCTGTATTGTTCGTCCACCTTCCCAGAGCATTCTTCGTCCCTGCACCCCTTGCATCACACATCACCACAAATACAGAGGACCCTTTAAATTGCGACGACTTATTTCCTTTCTCGGGATCAGGATATGCGGTCAACTGAAGAGGCACTGTCAAAACTGTCTTACTGATAGTACTGAAGGAGAAAAAGTAGGGACACGCATGAGTTTCATTTATATTCGCATTAACTATAGTCTGAAAGACTGCTAATCCGAAGGTAGTCAGTCGGGCATCGCCAATACCACCATGGCGAATGGAAGCTTCAGCCGCAATGACGCTGTGTCAGATTCAGCGGTATTAAAACGAGGAACACAGCTGGTGCCTAGGGGGGGGGGACGAATTGCTCTTCGAAGCAAAGACTTACTTCTCTTCGGTTCCCGACTGATGGCGAAGATTAGTTGTGGTTACAAACAGGAGGAAGCATACGAACATTTAAAAGATAGTTAAATAATAGGGATAACGCACCAGGACAGAGAACGAAAACGTGTTTGGTTAGACCCGCGACATCATAGTCTCCGGTGGCTGTGCATTCGAGTCTATTGAGACCAACCAATGGGGGCGATGCACAATGCACGACCAGCTCCGATCTGGTTGTCGTCATGTTTTTCGTGGCATCGGAACCGTAACAGGGTGCAGCATCGACTATCGAGTCGGCGGGCAGTTTTTTCGTCTGGGTGTCAGTCTACATAGGAGGGGGGGGGGGCAAGAGTTGAATGCGAGATAGGAAACAGTAACTAGCGGAGGGGGAGAGAGAGAGAAAACAAAATGGTTTGAAGAGTAGCGGCGGATGCCAACCTGCGTAGCGCACTTGACAGAGTCCGTTAACCACCCCACGATCGCGTCTGGTCAGCATCCCACTGGAAACGGAACGAATGGGGAGGGGAGGTAAAACTGACGTCGGAGTGAAATTTAGCCACTAAATGGTGGAGACCATTGCAGGTAATCCCCCTCCGTCCTGACTTATTCGTTCAAGCTGGCATTAGGCTAGAAGCTCCCTTAAAAATTCTCTGGGAAATTGTAAATCCAGTTGCGCAGTAGAGGATGGAGACAGGTTAGGTTTAGGGTAGAGGCAGACGTAACCCTAAAGCCCAGTGTGTGTCATACAGAGTAGGCCAGCAATGGTGACTCGCGCGCGCGAATTAGCTTGCAGTGACATGGAATTGCACCGCATCTATCGCACTCTCTCCTCCCTCAGCCACTTTGCTCAACTGGGTAGACAAGGTCAAGACTACTGGGGGTGAACCCCCGGCGCGATGGCTGATAGGACTAAGTAGTTCCTCTACGCGTACCGCGCACGATCCGATTTCCATTGCATGCATCAGGCTACCGTAAGGACGGCACGCATTTTACATGTGTGCGAGCGCACATTAAGAACAAGTCACTAGAGCCTGACCTGTTGGTTGGCAACCCTACCAGTCACGACTTAGAGCGCATCGTTGTAGACTCAAGTCCTGGTGTGCCATGGGGATGGATTCCCCGGCGTCGGTCTCATTTTCACTTTTCTCTCTCGCTCACGCACCAATCGAGTGTCCGTGTTTGGTAACAGGATGATGATGATGGGCCGAAGGAAGTCCCAGCCTCATTGGCACGATCAGAAAAGGAGCGCATGGTGGGTGTAAGGAAAACACAAGGTCTTAAAACCACCAGCGTGAACAAAGATTTTGGGCGGGTGAGAGACCGAGAGAGAGAGGGAGGGCGTGAGACTACGCTTGATTTTGGAAATGTGTTCCAATTTTTTTGGCAAAACGCCTTTTATCAACCGCGGAAAAATACGGTTACGTGAGGTAAATAGCATCGAAGGACTACAAGTGTGACATATCAGCTGCAAAATGCCACTGTCGGCATCATTGATAATCGTGGGTGAATTCTGTGCGAAATGTATGCCATATTAAATCTCCTTCGGAATGGCGCTAGCGCAGTGTACACATGACCTCAACAATGTAGTTCAGACACAGTTAAGAGCGAGTCAAATAGACCAACTAATCCACGCTTAAAACAAATTCCGGTAGGCATCGGTCACGCTGTCCTGGTCCCAAGTGTAAGAGCAATATGGGCATTCAAAGAAAAGTAAGCCGAAGGAGGATGCCAAAATGGTTAGTGGGGGAGTAGCCAAAGCTAGAACGGAAAAGGGCAACCTGATGTTTCGGTTTAGAGGTAGGGTTGGTTTTAGGGTCTGGGTTTGTGTCAGGCTGAAAATTGAGCATAGGGTTAGAGTTTGTGTTAAGTTTAAGGGCTCCGGCTAGAGTTAGGGTTTGAATTGCAGCTTAGGTTTACGTTTAATGTTAAGGTTGGGGTTAGGATCAGTGTTAGGGTAGGGCTACGGTTAAGGTTGGGGTTTGGGTTACGGCTAGGTTTGAGGTCAGGGCCAAGGTTAGGCTTAGGGTCTATTGTAGGTTTAGCATCAAGTTTAGGGTTAGCGTTAGGTTTATACCTACGTTAATGATTAGGTTTACTTTCGAGGTTACGGTTAGATTTGCCGTCAGGTTTGGGATATTGCTGGCCCGCGTGTCTTGCCACCCAGGCGTTTAGCGGACATTCTAGGCTTCCTTCAATCTCGCGGTCGATTTGTCATACATCAGGTTGCCTTTCCCGTTTCAGCCTCGGCTACCCTCCCCACTAACGATTACAACATCCCTCGTTGACGCACCTTACTTTCAGCGCCCATCTTACAGCGTAACCGACCACGTAAAATGAATAGCGGAAAAGAATTGCTGCATGGTGATGATGTTGTCTCGCTGGGGGAATCTAGAACTGTAGTCATCATTTTACTGTACACTGGTTAGAATAAGTCGGCTTGAGAGCTAGACCTGCTTTGGTTTTAGTCGGCTGTTGCATTTCCCGCAGAGCTGACAGTCGCGTCCAGACGAGCAAAGAAAGTTTCTCAGAAGAAAAAGCGATCGCTGGAACAAGGGTTTTATTCGCCTGACGTTTCGGATTCCCACTTGAACCCCTTTTCTGCCACTGTCTCTGATGTTGGGTTCAAGTGAGAATCCGAGACGTCAAGCGAATAAAATCCTTGTTCCAGTGATCGCTTTTTTTTTCTTCTTCCTCCTCTTCTTCTTCTTCTTCTTCTGATCAACTAGTTTCTGGAACTCGCATCCTCGCTTGTATCGCAAAGAAAGTTTCGTAGTACTGTCTTTAAAACTTAGGTCTTCTAGGGTACCTTCTCCATCTCCAGATGAAAACCAATCTTCTGAAACACTCAGACAGAAAATGAAACACAAACACAAAACTGTGAAATAAACGGGTGCTAGAGAGGTGATTATTCGGCGCGAAAGCAGTTTGGCAAAGGGCTATAACGCTTACAGCGCTTTGAGACAGTAAATCTAACCGACTGCCAACCAGGCGTTCGTGCATTTGTCTGACAAAATTGCAGAACTAAATGCGAGCATTTCGTTCTGTCCGAGAAGCGCCAGACAGACTGACAGCCTCATTGCTGACAATCGTTTTTAAGAATTGCCTCCTAAAAAGCCTCTGGAAATACGGCTACATTGAGCCGACAACACGCCCATCATAATGAACGAATGCCGTGCTCGAGAATCCTGTCAGACCGCATTTTGGATCCACCAATGGTTAATCATCTTTCCAAAAAATTTGTCCCTAACGCTTTCTGAGAGCAACTTTACAAACTGCTTCACTACAGCTTTTTAATTTTCTCAGAAACTGGTCGCTAACTCTTGGAGTAAATCAGTCTGTTTGAGACTAAAATTTGGTATGAATGTTTGGGCCGGAGTTCATCAACCACGGTGGAACAACTGCGTGATATTCATAAACTACCAAAAGGCAGCCAGTAGTATATGCATACGCCACGCTTGACAGCGCGGGTGCAAGCTAAAAGCCACGACACGTGTTTCGCCGATATTCTGTCGACGCAAGACACAGCTGCAGGGAGTTCGACTCATCAGTGGGTCCCCTATCGCTCTCCGTGTGCTTTCTAGTAGATACTTAAGTTTGGAAATTGCGGGTTTTTAATTCCCCCAGAAATTAGTTGCTAACTTAAAGTAGACTGGTTTGCTACAAGTTAGCAAATAACAAATCGCAAAGCTGCAATTTCAAAATGGTAGTATCTACCAGAAATCCCACAGGGAACGCTGGGGACCCCACTGATGAGCCGAACTCCTCGAAGCTGTGTCCTGCAGCGGCAGGATGTCAACGAAACAGGCATGTTTGGGCTTTCAGCTAGTACCCATGGTGTCAACTGTGGTGTATCGTGCAATATAGGCATAAACTGTTTCAGGTTGCTAGGACGAGGTCCACATCCAACGGACAAACAGCATGCTTTTCGATCAGAGCCAAGGAGAAAGTGTTAACAAGGGTTGAAGTATATAAGTACTCGGAGGCCAAAACATTTCGATCGTAAATACTGCCTACCCTATTGGCTGCGGTCCAAGTTAGGTCGGCCCTGGGATAACCGCAGCCCGTGCGGCAGGTGAGGTGTAGCTGCAAACCGGAGCGAAGATCGTAGGGATTTGTCCGCGTACCGAGACCGTACGTCAGTGGGATTTCCCCGTCTCGTAGCACGGGTGCCAAGGACTGAGAAGAGGAGGCAAGCGGGTCGGAGGGTCGGCCAGCCAATGCCGCATCCCGGCCGGAGGCAGTGCCGGACGATGAGGAGGAGGAGGATTGCGAAGAGGACAGGATCTTAGTGCCGTAGACAGAGATCGGCAGCATTTCAGGTGGTGCTAGAAGCGCGATTGGATAGTGAAAACAAATATCCGTGAGTGGTGGAAGCCACCGCAGACTGAGAGTTTTAACAGAATGCTTCTTGAGGATTACGCAGTCGTCCAGTCGTTACACTTTGACGGTAGCAAGGGAAAGCCGCTTTGTTTTGGGAGGTAGTCGTAAAAGAACGGCACAACTAGAGCAGAAAGACTGAAACATGGAGATTTTTCAATCCGACTAAACGGAGCTTCGTAAATAGTAGGTGGGTTAACTCATTAAATGTCAACCGAAATTCTCAAATGCGTTTTCGGTTCGAAAAGATTAATTAAGCAGAGTTGTAAAACTGATTATAATGCAACATAAGTCCATAATATATCAGTTACCTAAGGATGCCGGCTGTCGAATGAACTTCCTTCCGGCTGCATGCAAAAACTAAACTCAGCGAAAAATGACTACATAATTAGCATGCATTACTCCCATTGATTTTCGATGTCCTTAAAAATCCAATTATAATTCATGGAAGACATGCATAAAAATATCCACTGTTTCACTCATTCGGTAGAAAATGACGTCTTCTTCCAATTTTATACTCGAAGGTAGAGTATATTTTGTGAGATTTTTCAATACCGTGAAATGTCCGTTCGTAAAACACCGTGTCTTTACATCTACTAAGTTTGCTTTTAAAGTTTACAATATGGCTCAAATCCACTGCTAAATTTTATGAACCCCTTAATATCGTAGACAAATGTATGTTTTTCCATATGCAGAAAATATACGGCTTGTAGTTTGGGAACCCTGAATGCAAGTGTAACGGCAGGTCGTGTTTAAAATTATTCAGGAACTGGAAACGTTTTTGAAAACCTAATTATACCCTTCCTTCAAGTATAGATTTACACGATGACCTCAAGAAAATAAACATTTTTATGCATGTGTTCCATGACTTATAATTGAATTTTTAAGGGCATCAAAAATCAATGAGTAAAATGCATGCTACTTGAGTAGTCATTTTTCACAGAGTTTAATTTATGCATGAAGCCGATAAGAAGTTCATTCCACAGCCGGCATCCTGAGGTAACTGATTTATTATAGATTTATGCTGCATGATGATCAGTTTTACAACTCTACTGAACTAATATTTTCGAAACGAAAACACATTGGGGAATTTTGGTTGACATTTCATGAGTTAGCCCACCTACTGTAGCTTCAGTTTTGGGAGCTTAAGGAATCCAAAATATTCAGGTAACACGCATGAAGATGGTTTCACTTTACTCCCGACTCGCGTTTCGTTGGTGTTTCCGCTGCCGCATAATGCAAGCGTGAGGGGCTTGGCCCATCAGTGGGTCCCCAGGGCTCTCTAGGCTGGTTTCTGGCACAGATTTGACTTAAAAAGTCATACTTCAAAGACTTAAATCCAGATTCTGCCCTCAGTAATTTCCGAGGTCTCTAGATTGAGCTCCCAGATATAGAAAGACGAGCATATGCCGTAACCTGGTCGGTTAACGCCCCTCTATCACAATTAGTACTCCCGTGACTCGATGGTAGAGCTTTCAATCCAATGCCCAAAGACTCCAGGTGAGAATTACAAGTGTTTCACACTTGGGTTTGGATATGACTAAATCATTACGGATAATAAGCCAGAAATGGCTATTCCAGTATCCCTTGTCCTTTGTCGGTTCAGACTCTATCATCCTACCTGTCATATATGTATAAATATATGACAGGGCAACGAGCTCGTTGCTCAGTGATTAGAGTCGTGGACTTCTAACAAACAGATCGCGAGTTCGAACCTCGGGTGTGCCACACTACGGGGTTGGGTATGACTGACTGACGACGGCTAATAAGCCAGAAATGACCATTCTAGTCTCCCTTGTCTTTGTCGGTAATATCATTCTGCATATATATATATTCAATCAGGAATTGGCGCACACCGATCTATTGGCTTCACGAAGCAAACAAGCTCCGTATGGGTGACAAAGGTCACGAACAGGCAACCAATTACCAGGCCGAAGTCGACAAATTCATAATAGCAGCAAGGAGGGACGACAGAGAATACGGGTAGATTGATACAGTACTGTTTAGGGCTTATTTTACCTTCATTCAGCCAATCCTAACCCTGACCATTATATATATATAATGTTAGGGGGCGCTCACCGATCGTTCATACGGAACTCACTCGTTCCGTTGTGCCTTATGGACTCTCTCTCGAGCCCAACCAGCAGCCGCACAGCGGCGCATGATAGATAGGCAGAATGGTATTGCCGACAAAGACAAGGGAGACTGGAATGGCCATTTCTGGCTTATTAGCCGTCGTCAGCCAGCCATACCCAAGCCATATATATAATGATAGAAGGGAGGCTCACCGATCGCGTCACGGAACTCATTCGTCTCGCTGTGTCTCAGGGGTGTCTCGAGAAGCGCGCCAGCAGCCGCACAGCGGCGTGTAATATAGGCAGACTAACATCCAAAAAGACGGGGGAAACTGAGATGGTTATTTCTGGCTTATTTGCCGTTGTCAGCTACCCGTGCTCAGCACCGGAGGTTCGATCTCGTGACCTGTTGGTTAGAAGTTCAACGACTTAATCACTGAGCCACAGTCTCGTTGTCCTATCGGTTGCGATCGGGTATGTACGAGGCAGGAGGAGACGGGTGAGTTTCGTAACGTGACCGGCGTGCGCCCCCGTTCCATTGCATATACTCGATCGCAACCGACAGGTAGTGAACGGGTGGCTCAATGGTCAGAACGTTAGACTTCCAAGCAACAGGTGGCGATATCGAGCCTCAGGGGGCTGGGTATAACTGGTCTACCACGGCTAATAAACCAGAAATGATCATTCTAGCCTCTCTTACCGTTGTCCACAATGCTACTCTGCCTATATATAAATATATATATAAATATATCAATATATGAAAAAGGAAGAGGTTCTTCGGAAAAATCGAGTTGTACTCGTGAATTTTCGAATTGGTGACATATATATGGTAAAGGTATTATACCGTACTCCCGACATAGATACTTGCTAAAAGCCCAGACACGTGTTTCGCCGATATTCTGCCGCTGCGTGACACAGCTGCGAGGGGTTCGGCTCTTCAGTGGGACACCCAGCGTTCTCTAGCGGTTTCTGGTATATGAACTCCAGAGAATAATCAGGTGAATAATTTCAGAAATTAATCAGTGCAGAACTTGGAGTTAAATCTCCGGGACATGACTTTTTAGGGTCAGAACCGAAATTTCAATGAACACTTGAGTCGAAGACAATCAACTACTGTGGAATAACCACGTAATGTCCATTCTACAAACAAGTAGTACTACGAGTAGTATGAATTCCATATGGTAAAGGTATTATACCGTACTCCCGACATAGATACTTGCTAAAAGCCCAGACACGTGTTTCGCCGATATATATATATATATATATGAGGTGGAGCCGACAAAGACAAGGGAGACCGGAATGGCCATTTCCGGCTTATTAGCCGTCATCAGCCAGTCATACTCAACCCCGCCCTCATCAAAACGACAAGAAGTTCACTTATCGGAGCAGATCAGGCTGTAGTCTTGAGTTCAGAATGGAAAACCTCCGTCTGCATGTCATCAGCATTCAGCGTTGACGCGCAGATGGGAGGTTGAAAACAGCACAACGAAAGGCCCAACAGCAGAATCCCCGATGGTATCGATTCTCTGGTGCGGAGGTGAAGGCTTGGTTTAATAAACGCGAGTGACTACGACAATGTCAGTCAAAGTTCTCAGTGACATTACCGCAGTTCTCGGTGTATGGCATCTTGACGCTGTCCAAGCTATGATCTGGTAAGTGCATCTCGGAGGGGCAGATAGCATGCGAGCTCGGCCGGTAAATGTTTTCGGACTCCAGTATGTGATGCACGGCTCTCTTTCCCTTCCAAGATGGCCATCTGACACATTTACGGCACGGTCCGCCGATAGAGGTTCAGTCATATTAGTTCTTGTGGACACACAGTAGCATGAATTGACCCTCTGACCGTTTTTTGGCAGATTTGCGCAATTCCTCTGACCAAGTGTAAAACACTCGATAGGGTTTGAATACATCCAACGCTCGAAGCCCACCCAGGTCGATAGGTTTATTTTGTAACTAGGCCATAGAAACCAGGCGAATCTGACAAAAACACCCAGTAGCCAGGTGGAGTCTAGACTGACTGCTTAGACCAGTCAGCTTACCGCATCAGCATAGATGTATCTCATGAGCTGCGGCAGGTTGGGTGGGTAACTTGACTCCGATGTGATTAAACTCACGGCTCCCGGTCGGGTTTTCATAACTCAGGTGGTCAGAGTGTCGCCTGTACACAAGCCTTGCACTGGCTGTCGTGAACTCGAACCCCACGGAGGTGGCAGAAGGAACCTTTTAATGGCGGTTCATGCTCGTGATCTCACGATGCCGCCATCCGACTCTGCGATAATGCCATAGGATGGTCGATCTGTCGGAGTCCCTGAAGGGAGGACAGCTCTCCCCAGTCACATCTGTCACCTGAACCCCCGATGCCGTGGTGGGTTTTAATCCAGGACAGGCTAGCAGAGCAAATAAAGTGGACAGAGGGGCAGGCGGTAGTGGCAGCGACGTAGAAACAGATGGTCGCTGACTCACCAGGACTGCCGTTTGTGGTGGCGTGCAGCGCTGAGCACAGAGGGCTGCCGCCGTCGCGTACACACAACCGGGGAGGGACAGGCGCGTGTGCGGGCAGGTGTGTGTGTGTGTGTGCATGCGTGTCGTGTGTGGCAAGTGATGACATGTCTCTCGTCGTCGCTCACTCTGACCAAACAGAGCCTGGCCACTCCTCAGCATGCACATGTCAAGGTTCACGGCGTGGCATAACAAATAAAAATTGAAGCTGAGACAAACAACACGCGGCGGGATGGCAAAAAAGATGTCTGTGGTCAATACGCAGCTATGGCCCGTCTCCAGTAGGCTGGCAGTGAGAAGTGCCAACAGGAAAAGGCCGAATAAAACGAGCGCCAGAACTGTCTGCGCCGACTGCAGGTGACAGCCTCTGAGTCGCCTCTAGTGTGGGTGTACAATTGGATTGCGGACGCTGAGTTCCAGGGGGTGGGCTGCGGAAGAGACTGTTTCGGCTGTTGGTAACAAACTTCGCCTATATGTATCATGGATGGCGATCACCCTTTGGAGACAACAGCATGAAACATCGTTCTTTCCAGTCATAGCATGTGGACTGCCTCGTTTGAGAAGCATGCGGACTTAATGGTATTTTCGACCGGTCTGAATAATCGGTAACAATCGGGAGATGGCACCCAAAAAAATCCGTTACCTAGAAATAATACCTTTAACAGTGGACTCAGACGCCTTCAGGCTATATCAGCGGTTGCAGGCTTACTTTCATGCACTACTTGGACTTGCCGCGACGGCCCAACATGGACTGACCGAACGAACATCGCAGGAGGTTACATGGACGATGGCCGCTGTTACCCAGCCTTCCCCATTGTTACACACGTACATCTGAATATACGGCATACATTCGTATTATGGCAGTTTATTACAAAACAAAATCACTTTTAAATAGGATAAGTCTGCACAACACGGGACAGGAACAGTTCCAAGGCATCTGTCAAAGACATGGCATTGAGGCCAAACCAAAGACGATACTGTACTTCGTCTATGTGAGCCCACACAGCTCGCCCACATACAGGGCCTCCCTCGCGGAGTTTCCTTTTTAGTCTACTCCAGTATGCCTCAATGGCATTGGTGTGCCGTCCGGTGGTAGGGTCCTTGAAGTTCTTTGAGTGGTTAACAGAGAAATGTAGATAACCTTCTGAGGGAAGACGATTATACGCCTTTCAATCGTCTGTTACCACTATACTGCCTTTGGCGACCCACTTTCTAATAACGGAACGGAGAGTGGGCCAACTTTGATCATTCACCTGTTCAAATAAGGCTTTCCGTCGGCTAGTATCGTACATTCCGACCAACCACCACCCATAAAACCCCTATTACCACCTGTCCCGTAAGACGGGCTGCTTTGGTTAGGCGGATTTTTTTGGGTGCTATCTTCCGATTGTTACCGAATAATCCACCACACCCAGACTCGGAGGCTTTGGTATGATGCGAAGCAATGACAGCAGGAACAAGGCCTGCGTACAGCCAAAGGTCTAACCACCTGAGCTACGAGACCCCACCTGAGTGTCACATTTCGCCCAAGTTACCCGCCAGGTCTACTACAACGCATTGATTTCACCAATTCTGATACAGCCAACTGACTGTCTGAACAGAATTCCCTAAGAACTCAGCATAAAATCCACCAGAAAACTAATAGGCTCGGGCTGAGTTTCCTTCAGTCACGTATAAGGGGGTAAGCATACGTCATCACACGGAAGGTTGCGACAGACTTTCATAGCATTCGCCTTCAATGAAATCAGTTCTTGTCGGTCATTGCCTGGTTTCATGAAAGTAGGATATGTGCGTAGGGCCTGCCAGTCGATGACTGACTGGTTGCCCGGCCTTTGACAGGTGATGGCCCAGGCCAAATGCGGGGCGGCGTCTCAACACCTTTTGGGCCTTAAGGATTGTGTGAGTCTGTTGTGCCATGACCCTTGCAGCCTGGTGTATGCTGGCAGTTCTCTGGCATCTGGTTCCCTGCCGATAGATGCGCTTGCGCTCCCACTGGATATACAGACCGTGTGCATGGTTTCCCAGTGACTTGTGTCATCCTCTCCTCTTTCTGACCCATTTTCGTTGTTAGTTAAAATCCTGATCAGGTGTTTGTTGTGGACAAGGGGGTGTGGTGACACGCCTAGGTGCGAGTTCGGCCGCTACAGTCACCTGTGTCCTCTTCGCCCTCCAGTCTTCTTGAATATGTCTTGACATCGGACCAAGTTGGGGGATGAGAGGGTGCGATAGGCGCTGTGCAAGTCTACCCTCACTATAAACTAATTCACGCGCAACTCACCGTGCCTGCTCTCACCTTGCTGTGGAGCACACGTTGGACATCGTCGACAACAACGGTCGAACTGCTCATGCAAGCAGTACTTAGTTCGGTTGATGACACAATGCGACCAGTGCACCGTCCCCCCACTGTGGAATTCTTGTAAACAAAAATTTTAGCTAAAGAAGGAAGCATTGACGTCCAATATCCTGTGAACCAGAGTCTGGGATCTGGCTTCCGATCAAAAAGCGAACATCCGAACAGAAGTGAGGAAGTATACGCAATGTCTGAACGCCGGTACGCCAAACAGGGAACGTTCCTACATCCCAGCAACCGAGACCAGGGTTCAGTCTTGGGGTTGGTAGTTTGGCAGTGGAGTGCCTGCCTAGGAGGCAACGAGGAGTTTCTTTTGGCGAGAACACGTTATCAATTGTGTCAGTCAGTTTAACTGTTCACGGATGTCTCCCGCGTTATAAGGTAACCGAAAGGTAATGTCAGGTATCGATGCATCTCAGGGGTTGTTTGGGGTGCTAGACCGTCATCGATTGTGACTAGGTGGCGCTGGAAATCAGATGGACGATAGTGGAAGACAAAATACATTTTCTTAGTCCTAGTCCGAGACCGCCATTAACATATTTGAGGCATAGCGGTATGAGCGATGAGGGCAAATATACTAGACAGTGCTTCGGAGGACTTTGCTCTTCTGGCTCACGTCAGATGTCTGTCACGTTACATGCAATACAGGCAGATCTTTAATCTCTCAGGATTCTGCAAAGGAAACAACTAGGGCCGTCCAACCAGCCGTAGGACGAAGTACGCACGAAAGGCATGAAGCACTCACCGGAATCTCTTGGTGTGTTTTCATGTGGAAAGACTACTCAGAGACAAATAACACGATCCAAGGTCGTATAAGACACCGTTACATAGTAGTCTTTAACTGAAAGTTACATCCTACGTTTGAATCGATGTCACTCGCGAAGAAATCAGTACCTAAGTAGTTCATGTCCTTCAGTCAAGTACCTTTAGAAGTCCAGCATAGTAAGCACCCATTAAGAAATTACATCTTTTTGTAAGTCAGAATTGAGAACTGCAAAATACTCTAGTATCAAAACCTAGTTATTTACGCATACTATAAAGTATGGTCGGCGTTTTAAATCCGTCAAACAGCATGCTTACGTTATTCGAAAAGGATCCACTATTTTCGTTTCGGTTTTCACAAGGGGAAATCCTGAATAAAAATATGAATGGCGACATGGGAGGTAATGGACCTGCACTGATAACAGGTCAGCGTTGCCTTACATTTAGAAAACTCCACTGATCGAAGAAGCGCAAGGATTAAAATCAGAGTGTTGTTGCCGTACCCTCTGACAAAGACGGTGAAAAGATAAACGTACAGTAGATGTGCTAACTCATGAAATGCTAACCGAAGTTGTGAAATGCGTTTTCGCCTCGAAAAGATTACTTAAGTGGGATTGCAATAATAATCCTCGTGCAGAATAATCCCATGATAATTCAGTTACTACAGGATTCCGGCTTTTGAATGAACTTTCCAGCCGCCTGTTAAAACTACACTCTGTAAAAATGACTGCTTATGTAGTATGAATTCTTTTCATTGATTCTCGCTGTCCTTATAGTTTCAACTATGTTTCGTAGGAAAAATGCCTAAAAAAATTCATTCGTTCACTCATTTGGTAGAAAATTGCGTCTTCTTTAAATAATATGCATGAAGAAACGGTATAATTAGGCTATAAAAATTGTCTAATTCCCAAATAATTTGGAACCCGATCTGCCGTTACAGTGACATTCGGGATTCCGACACTACAAGCTGTATATTTTACGTGTACGGAAAATCATACATTTCTATACGGTGTTACGAGGAGATTATATGTGGTTCATCAAATTTACCAGTAGATTTGAACAATATTGTAAAGTGTACAAGCAAAATTAGTAAATGCAGAGACATGATGTTTTACGAACGAGCATTCCACGGTTTTAAAAAATCTCGTAATTAGAAACTTTTTTAAAACCGAATTCTGCCTTTCCTTCTAGTATAAAACATGAAGAACGCATTACTTCCTATCAAATGAATGGAAAAACGAGTATTTTTATGTATGCTTCCATGAAGTATATTTTAATTTATAAGGGCGTCGAAAGTGAGAGAACTTTACGCTACTTAAGTAATTATTTCTTTTTTTACAGAGAACAGTTTCTGAAGGCGGTCGGGAGGAAGTTTGTTCAAAAGCCGACATCCCAAAGTAACTGAAATATCATGGGAGTATGCTGCACCGTGATCAATATTGTAACCCTGGTTAAGTGATCTTTTCGAGTCGAAAACGCAATTCAGAATTGAGGTTAACATTTCATGAGTTAGCTCATCTGCTGTAATCTACCACACTCCATGCACTGATTGCGTGTGTTGTGGCCATACAGGCCGACGTCTGGCCACTCGTACTAATGAATACAGACTAGCTGTCTGTCGGTGTGACCCCCAATTCGTTCAGACTTGGTAAGCAAGTGCAGACAAAGAAAAGTACCTAGTAATCGTCAGCAGTGATCGCGTACGGTTCAACAAAGTAGCATGCGCGATATACAGGGTCAAAACGTTCATGCAATGGACGTATGGCAATATTCCACCTTTGTCTACAGTAAAACAATGTCAACCCACTGCAAGGGAAGGCGGCAAGCAGATTTCAAGAGTGGTGTCATGGTAAAAAAACGATAAATCATAAGGAATGAGCTATAACTAAAGACTCCCGTCCACAAGCTATGGTTGCAATACCCACCTATCGGCTTTTGGGTGCTGCAGTCCGTCCAGGTGATTCCGAAATACAGATGCCTTGCCAAAATCAATCACAGAGGCAAATAAGAACGCCTAACAAGTTGTACTCTAAATATCCATACCAGATGGCAGTCATCAAGTTTGCTCGTTCTGAATGAAACAAAACCACAATAGAGAGAGTTTAGATGTCTGTCCCCTTCCCACCCCGCCTCTACGACGCAACATGGAGTTAGTGCGGTTTATATACATCAGGCATCTGCTTTTCGGGCCGGGCCTACGTCGCCTAGCTCACAGTGGCCTTACAGCGTGGTGACGGTGGCTGTCTCTGCCAGTATACAGGCCAGACAGGACTAGGACTCGGCACAGAGAGGCTGTGTACGAGGAGGTGACCCACTGCATCAAGTCGCCACTCACATGCTGGAGGAAGGTCACGAGTCCGACTATGCGAGCATGTAGATATTGGCGAGAGCCGGTGGTAAGACAAGGTAGGAAGTGCTGGACGGCTGACACCACATCCAATATTATTAGTCGACTCTCAGATCCATGGGCATCTTTAGAGGAGGTTGCTAACCCATATATGTATATATTGTCCATAAAGTACGTGTACATTTCCTGCCAAAAAATTCGCAAAGGCCTAGCTCAAAAAGGTGACAAGACATGGATTGGTCAGTGGGATTTGCTTTCATTGAGGACATAAACAGGCTAAAAGCAATTCGCATTTCGAAGAATCAGAAAAACTTGTGATTGTTGGCAGCACTATTCAGCAACAGGAATGCCGCTATTCCGAAGGCACTATTGTCTTATTTTGGATACATTTGGAGGGGAATTGGCCCTCCTGGCCATGTTAGGACTGCGCTTCTGCCAGGTCGTGCTAATGAACTGCCCAAGGGCGCACTACCTTTATTCGGAGACAGCATTCTATGAAAGGAATCCTCAGTCGCACCGTTGGCACCGCCTTGTTGGAAGTTCCGAAAAGTTTAACCTCAAATCGTCATAACTGGACGCCTTATGGTAGAGGGGAGCTCACCGATCGTTGTTACGTAACTCGCTCGTCCCGTTGTGCCTTACGGGCTCTCTCTCTCGAGGTCAACCAGTAGCCGCACAGCGGCGCATGATATAGGCAGAAAGCAATTACCGACAAAGACAAGGGAGACTGGAATGGTCATTTCTGGCTTATTAGCCGTCGTCAGTCAGTCATACCCGACCACGAAATGTGAAACATCTGGGGCTCGATCCCGCAACCTGTCAGTTAGAAGTCCAACGCCTCTAACCACTGAGCCATTGTACATTCCCGATCGCAACCAACAGGACGACGAGCCCGTGGCTCAGTGGTTAGATGCGTTGGACTTCTAACTAACAGGGCGCGGGATCGAGCCCCAGGATTTCCACAATTCAGGATTGGGTACGACTGGCTGACGACGGCAACTAAGACAGAAATGGCCATTCCAGTCTCCCTTGTCTTTGTCGGTAATGCTATTCTCAACGTTCTATTCGGCGTCTCTTTTTGTTCTTAAGTAGTACTGAACCAAACGCCAATAATTTAACATATTACACTGCCACGTGCAAGGCCGTATTTGCATGGTCTTTTATATGTATCTGGTTAATGCGTGTGGTTGGAAAGGTTGTCAACTAGAGGGCTACATTGGTTTTCGGGACTGAGCCGGGTTGCAACGGCTCCTTTGTAATGCGGTCTTATCGACATTCCAGTCGATGTGATGCGGTATGGATGAAGCCTGATTCGGTTGGAAATGAAAGTAAGTGCCTCCTCCCTGTATTACAGGTGGCCTTCCGTTAAATTCCAGAGAGGGTACCTACTGCCCTATTCTAATGTCAGTCCTGGTCCCAACCTTCTACCCCCCCAGCATAACCTGAACCCTAGCTTCAACCTTCTTAAGCCAAAAGATCCTCGAATCTAGCGTAGAGCCACCTGTGTCGCTTGAGCGGGCAACGCGTTTCTTCCTCGTCGCCTTCTTCAGTCACAACAATGGACAGTTCACCATAAACGTTTCCACAAGTTCTTTCGTTGACTTAACAAAACTGAGACGATGGAGGCATTCAAAAGTGCAATCGAAGACCGCTTCGAGACAGCCCAAGGTGATAAAGTGGAATGCGGGTTGGCTAAAACTGTATTTCCGGAAGTATACAGTGGATGTGGAGTATGTCACGAAATGCCAACGGAAATTCTGAAATGCATCTTCAAGTAAAAGAGATTACATAAGTAAGCTCATAAGACTAACTATCGCACGGCATAATTACAACATATTTCAGTCAAGTCAGCACTCTGGCTTTCGAACGAGCCTATTTCCGGTCGCTTGCGAAAACAGCTCTCTGCAAAAAAGTGGTTACTTTTATAGAGCAAATCCCTCCTATTGATTTTCAATGCCTTTATAAATTTGAATATATTTCTTTTTCTGGTAGCAAATCAGTTCTGCTTCGAATGTCATACCTAAAAATGGTATCTTTCTACTCAATTCCTGAATAATTTTGAACTCGACCTGTCGCTGCACTTGCATTCGGAGTTCCCGAACTACAAGCTGTATATCTGTCCTGTAAGGAAAATTGCAAATTTATATATGATATCAAGAAGAGATCTTATAGGGATTACAAAATTGTTGGTGGATGTGGACCATGTTGTATACTTTACAAGTAGCATTAGTAAATAGACGGACAAGATGCCTATTGGGGTAGACATTCAAGGTCTTAAAAAATCTCACCGTTAAAACGTTTTTAAAACGAAAAATGTCCTTTCTCAAGTGTACAATTTGAACAAGACGTACTCTGCCACCAGCTGAGCAGAGGAATTTTTGTGCATGTTTTCTATCAAATATATTTAAATTTATAAAGGCATCAAAAATCAATAGGAAGAATTCACACCATACTAGTAATCATTTTTTTCAGAGCGTAGTTTTAGCAAGCGACCGGAAAGGGGCTCGTTCAAAAGCCGGCGTCCTGAAATTTCTGAAGTATTTTGTGGTTGCGCTGCATGACAGCTAGTTCCATGAGACTACAGTAGATGTGCTTACTCGTGGAACACTAACCCAAATTCTGAAATGCGTTTTCAGTTCGAAAAGACTACTTAAGTAGGGTGGTCATATAAATTATTTTATGGCATGATGTCAAGATACCGCAGTCGCGTTAGGATGCTGGCTTTCGAACAGAATTTTTTCCAGCCGCCTTCAAATGCTACGATCTGTAAAAATTACTACTCAGATAGTACGAATTCTTCTCATCGATTTTCGACACCCTTATAACTTCGAATATAGATCATAGAAAGCACGCATTAAAATATTCATTCTTTTACTCATTTGGTAGAAAGTTATGTCTTCTCTAAATATCATACTTGAAGGAAGGGTACAATTCGGTTTTAACTTTTCCAATCCCCGAATAATTCTGAACTCGACCTGCCGTTACAAGGCTCACAAACTATAAACTGTATATTTTCCATGTACGGGAAATCATGCATCTTTATACACTACTAAGAGGAGAGCATACAGGGTTCATAAAATTTGGCAGTGGATTTGAGCCATATTGTAAACTTAACAAGCAACATTAGTGAATGCAGAGACGCGATGTTTTATGAACGGGCATTTAAGGGTCTTAAAAATCGCATGATTAGAAACTTTTTTAAAAACCGAAGCGTAAGTCTACTATCACTTTAAACCAAGCCAGGCACAAGTCACTGTCCCTCCCCCCCCACCCTGCCCCGAAGCCCACGGTAGACATCGCTGGTTACGACGAAAGGAGAGCGAGATCCGACGATGGAGTACGCACTGCAGTTTTATCGAAGATTTGCACGGAAGCACACATAGACGGCGATAATGTGCGTGAGCAGTCAAAGCCGTCCCATGCGATGGCAGGTCCACGAGCTTGGTAAATAAGTTGGGAACCATACGTTAGATGCTTAGGGAACTTGCGTCCTCATTGGCACAAACGATAATGTCATAATTAACAAGGGCTGCTCCATCTAGTGTCCTGCAATTTAAGTCCTCGCACAGTTTCCTTTCATGCATACAAGCCAGTCGACAAAGGGCACATGCAATAATGGCCGTCGTACCTGAAGATGTTCGCCGTGTGCTCCACAACAAGGTGGAGCAGGAATGGTGATTTGTGCGTGAATTAGTTTATGGTGAGAGTAGACCTGCAGAGCGTCTATCGCACTCTCTCCTACCCCAACTTGGTCCGATGTCAAGAAATTTTCAAGAAGACCGGTGACGGGAGAGGGCACAGATTGGCGGCACGGCCGCATCCACACTTAGGTGTACCATTTCACATCCCCTGGTCCAAAACAAACACATGAATAGGATTTTAACCAACAACAGCACGACAACGAGTCAGAAAGTTGAGGATAACTGGGCAGCCATGCTCACGGCCTGTATATCCAGCGGGAGTGCAAGCGCATCTACCGGCAAAGAACCAGGTGCTAGCGCACACCAGACTGTGAGGGCCATGATTTGCTTATCATGCCATAGAAGGTGCTCACATATCTTGAAACCGGCAAAAGAATGGCAAGAGAATAGGCGCAATAAAAAAACTCCACACGAACCATAAACGTCGAGATCAAGCCATGACGGATGTCCTCCGAAGGCACAGAGCCATCGACCACGATCTTGCCATGACACAGACTTAATCTTGAGGGTGTAGGTCTGACGTTCAGATCCATTTTCCGGTTCACAAACGAGTTCATAGAGGTTCTTCTTGTAGGCTTCACATTTTTCGGAGATTATGTCGGCCCCACGTTTGAAAATAATGGAGAAATTCCTTGAGGCCATGGGAATCAGGATCACACACTTGAGGGTCGCCGGCTGGCCAAGGTAGACTGTCCTCTTCTCTGGTGATTGCATGATTTGGACGACCGACTGAGACAACACTTAGGAGAGAAAAAGTAATGGGGGCTCACATTGTAGCAATAAATCCGAGCAGACAAAAAATGTACGCATTTTTGACAATCTAAAATAGGTCTTTGTAATCTGAAGGGACGTTTGCTAATCCTAATTCTTGCGGCAGGTCAGACGTAAATTGGATATCAAGTGTCTGAATTTACAACCAAACTATCAAAAGACAGCTTGTTTGTTCTTAGGCAGAGGGCGAGCACAAACGAATCTGGATTTGGGAGTCAAGACACTGCTGGCTGACAATGGCAACCAAGCCAGAAATATCCAAAACTATGTCTCCATCCTTGTGGATAAAATTTCACGATCACTAATCGGTAGTCGTTAGGTGATCGTCTAAGTGGATTTTAGACACTCAGCTCTGAGACAAAATGCAAATGCACAGTTCCAACCTGCAACTAGGACTGATACATGCATGCCAAGCTGGTGTTGCATACGAGCATATCAAAAAATCGTACTGGGAGCGGGATGTAACATAAAACAAGCCCACGATCTTCATAAAGTCCTAAAGCAACTAAAAAGTGTATTAAAAAATTAATGCGGCCAAAGTTGAGAAGGCGAGGATAACAACCCCAGTATACCTACCCACGTCGATGCTGATTACCATTAGAGTCCAAAACCACATTGTTACGAAAAGCGTTTAACCTCCAGTATTCCCGCGAATATAATTGGTTGGGAGGCGACTGAGTTCACCCTCAGCTTTCCAATCGGTTACTCTAAAATTATGAAATAAAAAACCGAAAATAAGGGAGGATAAACGCGTGTGAGAATACTGGCGGTGTTGCGTATGACCGCCTGCGGACAGATGCCGGAAGGACATAGATTTGTTTGTGTGTGCGGCCAGTATGGGGAAGGGTTAAGAAGAGTTGATCTCACGAGATAAATGAGTGCAGTCGATCCTCAGAGATCTTCTGCTTATGTATTTCAACTGACCTTTGCTTTACCTGTTATAGCATATGAGCGGTAGTGGAAGGTGGCAAATTGATGAGATAGCTCGCTCAAAAGGCAACTCTTGCAGTGTCTTGGGATATGAAGTGAGTGTTGAGTCTGGCTTGTCTAGGCATTGAGACTATCGTGCGTGCAATATGCGAAAATGGAGACGAAATTCAAGCCGAGATACTTAGCCAATTCTCATCTAACGCCCTAATGACTTTGCCGTACAATTAAAATCGAAAAGGTAGAGAAAGAGAGAGATGCAGGGGCCAACACGAGTCATCGCTGTTATCATTCAGATGCTTCTTAAGACACGGCAATCAAGCGGCGATAGCTCTCATGAGGCATGAACAATGAGATATACATTATAAATTTAAGTCAATCTCTGCACCAGGCGTGTAGGCCCAAGGAAGGCTACCAATCGTGTTCGCGGAGAAGAAACATGGAAAGAAATGCAAGTCGGATGATCAGAAAGCAAGACACCAGCTTCTGCACTAACGAATTGGGCGAAGCAGGTTATTGAGTACATTAAGGTGCTTCCCAGACACACATGCCAGGATCAAAACTTCAAAAATTTATATCAGGAACAAAATGGGAAAAAAACTATTTAACCTGTTGAGAGCGCTCGTCAATACGGAGACATCCAAAGAAGAAGTCTACAACATACGCCAAGACATTTCCGCTCGACACTTAAACAGGAAAAAGTGGACAGCGCGACCCAGATACATGTTTCCCAATTCATGAAAGCTAAGTTGTTCATTAAAATGAGTAAAACGATCATCGTGTGCCATCTGAAATGAGGTTCCAAGTATGCGCAATCGATAGTTTCAAAAAAGTAATCGTATCAATGCCACATTTAAGTATGTTCTTGCAAATGATACTCTCAAGAAGTATCATTGCCGGCGACGGAATGGCGTATTAGATTGCCAAACATAACAAGGACTCTGAGAAGCTATAATTTAAAGCAAAAAGCCGCAAGGGCAACTTCAACAACGCACAGTAGATGTCTAAGGCTGTCCAAGCGACCACGCTGTCATTTGATGCAAAAAATGGACAACCTCCCAGAACTATATGATCAACAGTAACTTTTTATGCGTATCAGTATCGTCTTGATATTACCAAGGTACTATATTGATACTCTGGTCAAAACTAAATGAAATTGTGGCCGCATGCACATCTCTCCCTCTAGTATTAATCATTGAGCTAAGCACGTCCGTCAATACAAATCAAAAAGGATAAACCACCAATAACGAAACCACAAAGACCCACAGACTTATAATCTGCATAAGCCTGATACGTCCGGAACATGGGCCAGGACGAAAATTGCTGAGGTTATCGGCACGCGAAAGCAAAGAATGTCAACGTAAAGTTACGTCGACAAAAGTAACAAGGATGCCTAATTTAAGACCAACTATGCTAAACACTTAAGAATCTGAAATAACTGTATGATTCTGGCAAGATTAAGACCAGATTTAAAATATTTAGCACACTCTTGCGTTAGCAAACAGCGCTAGGGTCATAAATGATTTGACACAATACTTCGCGCATATAAACGCTTTGATACAGCTAAACGGTACAAGTCAATAACGAATTTTGAAGAAAACGGAAGGATCAGCATGTAGCAGATTAGGGCTAAAAGTGAACCGACTCGAAACCAAATATAGAATTGGCACTGAATATATGGGCAAGTATCAGCGAGTTGATCAAACGAATTTTAAATGTTTCCGTGCAAACTACAACATAAATGGGGAAATGACCAATCAAACCTGGAAATCTTACAGAAATATACGCTATCAGAACATCCACAAAAGAAATGATTAAATCAGGGACCTGGAGAAAGCCTACAACCGTGGACCATTAACTGATTCGGTAAAACAATCGCCGACCGAAATCTAGAAGTTTACAAACAAATGAAGCGTACCTAACTTTAAATTCCATAACGACATAGGTGTTTTTAAGAAAGTTGTATGAATTGTGTGAGTGCGGGATACATGACTCTTTTAAAATGAGGCATACCTCATAGGTTTCGTAGGAATTTCGCCTACTATAGAAGCGTTCTCCTAGTCGTCAGTGACATGATCGGAACGCAAAAGCAACAACTGCGAACGACATTTAAAACGCGGCCAGTGGTCGTTGTATGGATAAGAATGCATTTTTATTCCAACGTATTATGTTTGTGGAAGAGGAACTTTCATCGCTTGCCTTAGCGGCAACCCGGAACATTTTTCGGCATTTAGCTGATACCTGCAAATTCCTAACTCGAGAGCGGGATTCTCACGAGCAAGGATCCAATTTTTTCTAAGATGTCGCGTATCCTGCTGATCGAAAGTTATATGTAGGTTATCTAGTAGGCAGTTTGTCGATTACTGTTTCGCTTTACGAAATTGTGAAAAACGAAGTGGATTCCGTCGGGTGATAACCTACGACACCATAGTACGGTTAACACGGGAAACCAGGTGCAGTTCTAGAGCTGATTCGATTTATCTTTCCGGACAGAGCCTCTTAGCTCACATGTATAGAGCTCACGTGTACTCAAGCCTTACCCTTACTCTCGCGGGTTCTAATTCCGCGGAGACAGCCGAATTTTCACCAAGTTAGTCAGATAAATTATCCAAATCTGTTAAACCACTTTAGCTTGCTTGCATTACTGCTAATTCTCCTGTTTTTATGTGATAAATAGGGAGCCTAAATGGGTGAAACGCTTTCCCTCGAATACACTGAACTAATCTGAAGCAACTGATTTTAGTTTCTATTTAAATTAAGTCTCACTGGACAAAAATCTCCATTTGTGTCTGATCTGCGTGTTTTTATACCTTTCATAAATAATGGCATTTTGTCTGAGTTATCTCCGTTATGAAACAGGCTGAACAATAATTTTGAAATAACGTAAACTATGCTGGTAATTCGAATGAAATGAGATGTGTAATATTTTATTAGAAAGTTCCGTTGGATACAAAAATCAGTTCTTCGGTTGGGAAAGGAATCTGTTGCACAATGACGCGGGCTTTGCTTACAAATACGCGAGCACTGCAATGTCGGACCTATGTTTAACGGAGTTCTCCTTTAAAGATGGCGTATCGTCTGGAACATTGAAAGTGCAAACAATCCGGGAGGCCTCACATATATATTACCGCTCATAAAGAGTCCCTGCCGAATTGCGCACTACAATGAAAGTCAAAACAAGCATTATAATCATCCAATTCAAATATTTGAGCAAGAAGACAGATTATTGGGATGCGCATCCATGAACAAAAAAAGGGCAAATGGCCAAAGCATACGCTCGCCCGTTTAAACCCTCGAAAAACGAAAAACAAAAGATAGGCGGACCTGGTTTAGTATGCAATTGCAGTCGCAAAGATATAATTAACGACAAAACAGTCATCGAAGAATTCAAATATAGACCGAACGGGACAGACAATGTGCAGGTGTGGGTTGTATGCAATAAATGTGTAATTCGACCACGCAACGCTTGTTTTTGCTACCAAGCAATTCTCCGAATCATTCACTCAATAATTTGGTGTCATACTGTTGTCAAAATCCTGTGCATGCCAAATTGAGGAAACAGTGGTTGGAAGCATATTAATCTGAATTGGGTGCGTGTGTTAGTTTGTAAATTAAAAATCCCTCCATGCTTGTAAATGGAACTCATAGGGGACAACGATCATAATCGTTGCTGCATAGTTAGTCAGGGAATATCCCTTGGCCATTGGGACACTCGACAACTGGAGGTCAGCGGCACGTGGTTGCATTTCCTATCTTTACGCGAGCCATTCCGACACGGAGGACACAGTTTAGCTGAAGTGTTTAGGATTGCTTAAGGCGTGGGTCGGTTTTCTCATGGTGCTGCCTCGGCGCAAAATGATTGGGCTTTAATTAGAATAATGAGTAAGATGAATCTTTCAGTAATCAAATTCCTTGTCACTTATTTCAGTCGACTGAAGTATATAAGCGGATGTACAAAGACGGTGTATCTACAAATGCGACAAAATGGTTGCAACAATTCGCCAAGAATGGACCGTCGCCTGCACTGTTTGGTTGGTTCTTAACTTGTAAAACCCATGACATCCTCACTTCCTGATGCTTCGAAAATTTTTTAGAGTTGTACCGTCTAATAAAGAGCTGATATCACCAGAACTAATTTGCAAGGAATAGCTGTCAATGAGTCTATTGCTTGGGCCAAACTCGTCCATCCCCTCAGGAAGTAAGCATACGGTGCACTAACCACATGGCATGTTCTATCTTAATTAAAGTGTGCTTTAAATGCAACCGATGACATTACCACGAGAATAAGTTTTAAATTAAACAATGTGCACAAAAATATTCACGGCCAGTAGGCTTGCAAAAATCAAAGGGAAATCAAACTCCGGTTTAGCGAACAGCAACTTTTTAAATTGCCTTACGATTATACATGCAGGCTAAACGGTAGTCTAGCACCCGCACAGAAGTATACAATCCAGAAGAAAGGGGATTTATTAGTCAGCACATGCTGTTGTCCATAATTACTAAACTGGTTACTCGTCCGACTTTCAGCCACTGAGATAGTTGCTCAATTCGGATTACAAGGGTCTAAAGCTGATCGAAGGCAACATTTATGAGAAAATAATCTAGAAACATGCTTATAACGTGTTTGGAATCTCACGCAATCCTCTCCAAAGCACAGGTTTGTGAACGGTT